ATAAGATTTGTATATTTCTTTTTCTGTGTTTGTTTGTTTGTTTAGCTAAGTTTCCGTGCAAAGATGGAAGTCATGGTTGCCAAGATGTTTGCTTTGAGTCTAATGACGTAGCTACATGCGCATGTCGTATGGGATATCAGCTAAAGTCAGACAAAAAGTCATGCGAAGGTACAGCAATAATATTGTCTTTTGTCATGGCTGCACGAATTTGCTATTCTCTGATATCAGCGCTTGTATTTCGAGTATTACTAGCTTGTTCTAATTGTTAGATATTTTTCCTCATTACGACCCAGCTTATTTTACTGCTTTTTTTAATATTCGCCTAGGAGAGAGCGACATAATAGTATTTGTAATCTGGGGATTTATGTTGATTAGATGTCGATGAATGCAATGAAGGAAAGGCCAGATGTAACCAGCTTTGTTACAATAATGAAGGCAGCTATGATTGCGGCTGCATTGGAGGATTTCGTCTCAGTGCTGACAATGTGACCTGTGTGGGTGAGTTATAGAAACATACATGTATAGCGCTGATAGTGAAACTCATTGTGTCTTTTCTTAGAGATACGACTAGATAGCAATTAATCCATTGAGTCATGGACTTTTGATACAGTTGTATGTGAATCAAATTGTAGAGATTCGACCAGAAATCAATAAATTTATCGAGTCATGGATGTTTGATATAGTAGCATTACAATCACATTTTGCAGATATCGACGAATGCATCGAATGGACTTTCAATTGTTCAGCTTCGCTGCGATGTGAAAACACCATTGGGTCCTACAAYTGTAGATGTCAGGAAGGCTTATATTGGATTGACAACAGATGCCGTGGTAAGAAAAATGCACCGAGTCCAGCTGAAAATCTATCGGCTAATTTATGTCACATTTCATAAAAATATAGTGGAATGTATAGTCCAAAACTTAAAAATAATTGCTGTCATATCTCGCATCTTTGATCAGTTATTTTGGAGAGCACTGGTTTTGCAATCAAACATAGCGAAGCCATTGTGTTCTTGTTTTTTGTAAGGGCTTAGCTCCTTTATACCATATCTAAACAATCTCTGTCTTGCAATTCTAAGAACTGTCAAGTGGAGAGAAGAAACCAACCCCTAAACCTCCACCAAAGCCACCAATACCATCCATAGACGATCTCCGTAATTCTGTCAACGTTACGATCAAAGAACTGGACATTTCTGAGGTAAACAAACGATTCCTACCCCGTGGTCCAAGCTTCTGTATCTAATTTTAAGGGCGTTTATTGCATTTGTTTGTTCTTTTCAGTGGACTCTACAACTCGATCTTGTGTTTAAAAAGGGTGTTGCGCGTGAAGCTAC